CTGTTTGTTTGGCCTCGTTTATTGGGCCTTAAACCTCTTCTTATGAAACCCACATTACTCTGCCGTTACGTTTGCGTTACTTCTGTTTCGTTCTATTGAACGTTTTTATTTGTGGTTTTAGTCCGAAAACTAAAATAAACGCTCTACGATAATGCAAATTAATAAGCAACATTTGTTATGTTGCAAATAAGGTATGACGAAATATGTCGAGCGTTCATTCGGCCGCGATGACGTCTCAACCCGTGAACTATATCTTGCCAAATGCAACATTAAACATTGCTCTTTGGTGCGAATAAAGTTCTCTTCAATCGCACCACCTGTGATGTTATTTCTTATTATGCTGCTGAGATGATGCTTGTTATTCGACGGCTGCCGTGCATAAATTTGTATATCATAAATGGATGCCAGATCTAATATATAACCCCGTTGGCTCACAAAGTAAAACTTAACTGAATGTTAATACTATAATCACTAAATTTTGATTTACTGAATACTTATATTATACGTTTTTATTTCAATTCGGTAGATAAGGAAAATTTTATAGAAAATAACCTATGTTAGCGATTTACAAAATAAGTACAGACCTGAAATACATTTTTGGTGGTCATTTGGTATTTTAATTTTTCTGTTAGCTAATTTTTTTTCGTCGTTAACGCTTAGGCTTAATTAATTATGGTTAAAGTCTTATATTAATAAAAAGTAAACTCTATCCTTTTTTTATTTGTATTCCGAATATAATGAATAGATGACGGGGCTATTCCATATTCGTCACATCGAATGGACACACAAACTAAATAAAACAACACTTACCAGAGCCTTTAATTTGTGTAAAGCTTTGAATTGTCTTTGAAAACCAGTGGAGCGAACTGGCACTGAAACCAAAATATTACTTGTTTCTTTAACAAAGTGTTTACAAAGTTGTTATTATTTTGATGTCTACTGCTTTTCTACTTAGCTATCCATAATTGCTTATATCGTCTCGTCACTGGTTTTTCTCATCACTGGTTTTTTTCTAAAGTTTGTAATAAGAATTTGGACAGATTGTACTTGTGCCACTTTGATGATTTAATTAAAATATAAATGAAATCTTTAGGTTGTAGAGGCGCTTTGCATCTCCTTGAAATGGTTTTATGGCTTTTCGTGGATACATTCAATTGAAGAGCAGACTATCTGCAAACTTGACACCAAACGCATCAATCGGCCTAATAAGTCCCCTTGAATTGGTTCAAGTTGCGTGACCTGATTCAAAATTAAAGGGAGCTAAAAAAAGTAAAGTAACAGCCTATACATGTTCCACTGCTGGGCAAGGGTCTCTTCTGTACATATGGTTTCAGGGCATACACATCTACAACTTTTTTTTGTTATTAATTCGAAAATATGCAGGTTTTTTGTATTCAGATTTCACTATTCGTTCATTTCTAATTCGTTTTAAGCTTAAAACATCGAGACTGTGGAAATCTGTTAGACAAATGAATCAGCCGAAGCTGAAGTTGCCGGTGTACATGTACACTTCTGATCGAAGACGGCGATCGGAATGTCGTAGCATTTCGTAGTAAACTCAATTTGGGCTCGAGTTATGAGAGCAAAGATGAAATGGAATCTTCGATTCTTATGTTTTTTTTTCCCACGTCAATAAGTTTTCTTTTGCACTATGTACTTATGACATGGTTTCATTTTTTAAACAAAGTATATTCGATGGTTACGAAAAAGTTACATTATTCTTTGATACAGTGATTTGTTACGCTTCTAAAAGCAAACGGGGAGACAAAAAATGTCTTTACTTATCCAATAGAGTATAGTCCAACATGTGAACCAATTAAGGATTTGTTAGTTGTCATACACATATTGTACATGGTTGGGCATTGTTATAAGACATGGGTTGGATGTGGATTTCCACGCTTTATTACATACTCACTTTGGGCCAACGCTTTATAATAAATATAAAGTATGATCTAACGTCTGATCTATTCTTGATAAACAACGGGCAGAAAGAGATAGCTTCTGATATTCCACAAAGCCCGCACAAAGCTTGTTTTCAACAGACGTAAAATAAAATTTTTAAAAACAAGTGGACAATTGGTGAGCACAGCACAATTGAATAGTTGGATGGATTTTTGAAACAATAAGATTGACGTTACAACCATTCATGAATAACTGTAAATTTATAAGTTAAAATCTTTGTTACATCAATGTAACTAATAAAGTCTTTGTTGAAGCATAGCCGCTTGGTTATCGTGACTGAAAAAAAAAATTAAAACGGTCGGCCGTCTACTTGAGTGATTTCTACATATTGACCACGACCAGTAAGGTAGCTATGAAACCAACTGACCGTATCGGGATCAAAACCATAATATGACATCTTAGCTAGTAGTAATTGAGTATTCATGCAATCAAAGGCCCTTGAGAAATCTAGAAGTACTAGTAAGGTACACATACCCCCATCCTGTGCATTAATAATATTGTCTGTAACATCTAGAAGAGCTGTGGTTGTGCTATGGTTTTTTCTAAATCCAGACTGAAATTCAGAAAGTATTTTGTTACTTTCAAGATATTCCCTAAGTTGCATCGCAACAGCTTTCTCAACAATTTTTGACAAACAGGGTAATATGCTAATAGGTCGTAGGTCCTTAGGTTCCTGTGGGTTTGAGTTTTTAGGCAGTGGTCTAACGATGGCCGTCTTCCAGACATCTGGAAAGGTAGAGGTTACTATTGAACGATTAACGATAGATGTGATAGAGCCTAGTGACTGTGGCAAGGTTCTAAGAAGCATTCCGAGAGAGATCCTTTCGATTTAAGATTTAGTATAATTTTCGAAATAATGTCTTGTTCAACATAATGAAGGGAAAATTTTATATATTCTATAAAACGGTTGCTATTGAAAAACAATAAAACTGAGGGCGAAACAGAGGAGGTCCCGGGTATATCAAGAAAATGTTTGTTAATTATGTTGGGACCTGTCAGGTGAGCAGGTAAATGAGAATTTTGTTTAGGAGGCAAAACAGATGATTTTAAGTTTCTCCAAAGCATTTTTGGTTTATTTAAATTATTATTTATATACTGATTGAAGATTTTCATAATGAATTGATTGTACAACTAAGGTTTTAAGATTTTTATAATACGCCCTATGTGACTCCATTTTTGATTTCAAATATCGCAAGTGAGCAGCATTCCGTAATCGCATCATGAGCTTTATATTGTCTGTTATCCATGGATGAGGTTGCTCCTTAAGTACAATTCTTTTTATGGGAGCTATTAAATCTAATAAGGTAATAATATGAGAATTAAACGTATTCACTATTCGGTTAACATCACACATTTGTTCCAATGAATTCCAGCTAATAGAGTCTAAACAAGAATTAAGTATATCAACCGGTACGTTATTAAGAGCTCTGTAAATAAATCTTCTCGGAAATGTTTTTTCTCTTTTACAGCATACTTCACAAGTTAACATTACATGATTGCTGAGGGGCGCTACTGGTTCCATCGTAACATGTCGCGTTCCAGTATTTGTACATATCATATCTATGATGGATTCGCTGTGGTCCGTGTAATGTGTAGGAGACATAACTATTTGCTGCAGATTTACACTGTTTAAAAATATTTTAAGTTTATGAACCTTAATATCATTTAAACGAAGAATATTTATGTTAAAATCGCCGAGCAAAATAAAATAATCACACGAAGCTAACGAACTTATAGTTAATGTAATTGCATCGAAAAATAAATCAACGTCGAGCCAAGGCGGGCGATTTGCTGTTCCGATAGCAAGTTTTCCTGTCCCAGTGTTAAGAGTTAACCACATCTGTTCCACAGACGTGTGCGAAGGGTCCACCGGATGGTGATAAGAGTGCACATTTACGCCATGCCTTATGTAGAAGCCAACGCCACCGCCGCGGCCACTGCGCACGCTCAGCGGCCGCGGCGTGTGGCGCAGGCTGTAGCCGGCCAAACGAGGCGCGCAGCCCTCTTCTCCGGTACGCAGCCATGCCTCATTCAGCGCCATTATGTCTACCGAGTGACGTTCAATGGCTGCGATAAATTCCTCATGATTCGTATTTAACGAGCAGACGTTGAGAAAACCAAATCTATAGTATAATTTAAGGCCCATTAACAAAACAATTACAATAAAAATTTGGAATGTTTACATGTAACCAAAAAAAAACGAAAAAGAGTTATAAGAATTACAACGTCTATTAGAGTAAATAAAAAACGCTTCGATGGTGTGCGCGCGATCAATTTAAAAATTTGTATCTGAAAAGACCTAATAATTAAAGAACGCCTAAATATACTGCCACCCATATATACTGCCACTAATAATTGTATTATGCGAAAATGAATAAATTGAGCTTTGTCGTAAGTAAAAACCCGGACAATCAGCATTGCAACGCAACCCAAAACATATTCGATTAAAATAGTTATAAAGTAAAAAAAATTATAAACGGAAAAGTTATACTACAAGGAGAATATTTAGTGAAAACTCGGACAATCAGCATTGCAACGCAACACAAAACATATTCGATTAAGATAATTATAAAGTAAAAAAAGATTATAAACGGAAAAGTTATACTACAAGGAGAATATTTAGTGAAAACTCGGACAATCAGCATTGCAACGCAACACAAAACATATTCGATTAAGATAATTATAAAGTAAAAAAAGATTATAAACGGAAAAGTTATACTACAGGGAGAATATTTAGTAAAAGCTCTGACAATCAGCATTGCAACGCAACACAAAACATATTCGATTAAAATAATTTTAAGGTAAAAAAAATGTTCGAAATGGTAAAGACGTACTACAAAGAAAATATTCTGCGATTACAAATATAATAAAGATACAAGCATGGAGTAAATATTTTTTTTTTGCGAAAAAATAATACTGTTGTGGCATATTGAATAAAGCAATATTCAACTGAATGACATACTGAATACAATCAACTGAATCAACTTTATACAAGATAATAGAAAGAAATTGGAAAAAATACATAGACCAACAAATCAAGATATAAAAATTTTCTTTATGTCATTTTCATTTTTAATTCGCTCGACTACCTTACCGTCATCTTTCCTAGCAAAAATGTTACCATATCTCGTCCAAACATATTTCCACTGGGTTTGTGATGCAGCTTCCCGCGCCATGCCAAACAGCTGTCGGTTCAGCCGCGTGAGGCGCTCGTTGACGAAGAACCTGCGCGGCTCCCCCGGCATGCTGATGTCGGCTGAGGTGAGGCCGCGGCGCACACGCGCAGCACGTAGCATGTCGTCGCGCAGGGCTCGACGCGCCAGCCTCACGACGATGGTGAGTGGGCGCGGCGACGCGGCCGCGTCCTCAGCGGCGCGGTTGCGCGCTGAACGCGAGAAGCCCACCCGCTCCGCGAATACAACATCCCGGTCCTCCAACTTTATGCCTAGCTTTACGGCTATAAGCCCGGCTACATGCAAGATGTTTTCATTTTTTTCTTCAGGCAGGCCGGAGATTTCCAGGTCGTTATGCAGAGATTCTTGTTCGCGCTCGTTTAATTGTCGCTTCAAATCGGTAATTGTGTTTTCGAGCTTCTCCACATTGCCGGGAGATTTTACTTCGCAGCTCGTCTCCAGTGTAGACACTTTTTCTTCTAAGGCAGTTAAACGTGCGCTGCATGAATGCAGCTCTGCTTTGAAGTCGAGAATCTCCCTCCTACAGTCCGCAATCTCAGTTCTTGTTTTGCTCAGCTCACTGCGCAGATCTCTTATCTCCTGCATTAACTCCCGTAGCATGCGGTTGTTAGATGTGGGTGTATTCTCACTTAGATCTGATTGAGGAGTTGACTCTTCTGACGACATATCACCACATAACGTTTTTGATGCCTTCGAGGATATCGTCGGGTCTGTTTTGGTTTTGACTTTGCAGCCTTGGCACGCCCATCCTTGAGGCATTGGCCCCGTCGTTACAGAACAGCAAGTACGATGAAAATTATTTGCGCATTTAGAGCACCTCACACAGTCCGCGTTGGATAAAAATTTACCACAGTACCCGCACTTAGGCATTTTCTTATTAATTGTAAGCGCAGTGGTGTTAGCATCACTGTTCGTGTAAAGATGGCGTTGTGCTTAGTTCCGTTAATAAATTTAGCCACGGTTTAACATGTATTGATTTGTGGCGAACAAAATACACTGAATTGATCCAATTAGAGCTCTCAGCTGTAATATTTATAGAATAATTAAATTTAAATAATAATTAGAATTTTTTCTAATTGTTTGTACATAATATTTTGTTTTTATCTCGGAGGGTATGTCAGCAATTGCAGTTCACAGTCCACCCAGGATAATTTGTTAATTTCTTTTTAATTTTAGCACATATTCACTGGAAAACACTGTCACACATTAATTACACGACACAGTTAACTTGGAGATAGAATTTACTATAAAACACCGATGTTAAATATTTTTAAAACTAAGATAATTGACTCGGCCCATTCACTAAGCTAACGAGGTTAATGTATAAAGGCCAAGGCATCTGTGAAAATTTCAAGAGATACAGCCTGGTGACAGACGGACAGACAGACAGACAGACACACAACGGAGTCTTAGTAACAGGGTCTAGGAATGGAATCAAAAGTCTACGTTTCACCAGAGTTATGATATACATAATTATGATTGACCGCGTATAACAGGTATAAATTAATGTGAGGTGCTGATATTTGCACGAACTAAGTCGGAAAAACGTATAACACATCGGTTCAGCTCGTAGTTGGGCTCTAGTTCACTAAGTAGGTTATAAATAAAAATAATGTGATGGATAATCATAAAAATACGTACAATTGCAAATTTAAATTATTTTTTCAGCTATCGAATAAATCAATATCTTAATTTGATCATTACGCTTTTATGCGAAACATTTTTCAATCAGCTGAAAGCGATACTCGATACCCTTTCTTTCATGTGATATTGAAAAAATTCCTTTGAACTCTGGAATTTTATGAAAAGTATTTCATTTCACATACGTCCTTTGAAGCATCGTTATGTAATTAAATGTAATCATTTGAAGAACATACTTGTGTGACTTATTTTATAATTTATAATAATATATTTGCAAAATCTGATAACTGGTGATGAAAAGTGGATCACGTACGACAAGATCGTGCGAAAAAGGTAGTGGTCAAAGGCTGGTCTGGCTTTACAGACTCTGAAAAATCCCGGGTTATCTCACAACAAGGTAATGCTGTGTGTATGGTGGGATTAGAAGGGCATTATTCATTATGAGCTGTTACCGCCAAGCAGGACCATTGATCCTGAACTCTACTGCAAACAACTGATGAGATTAAAGCAAGAAGTTGAGAGAAAGCGGCCGAAATTAATCAACAGAAGGGGTGTGGTAAATAAAATTTATTAAAAAATGTTTTGAATTTTCATATAAAATACGAAGAAATTTTTTCCCTAACCTATTAGATAATCTGTCATTGATAAATATTACTTGGCGTTTATTACAAATTTTGTTTACTTTTATTGTTGCTTTTCTTGAATAATAATAGTGATATATTTTATTTTCGAAATGTAGGTTAACCATAAGGTATACCGTACAGTACTTTATATCACTATATTCTACCCATTTTGCCGGGAAAGGAATAAAATAATACATTGGCTATAAGGTCGTCAGTACTAATCATGCTTAAATGTCTGAATTTATAATAACTATAATAGAATATACACCTTGTAGTCGAAATATGTATTGACATCGAAATAATGTCAATCAAAACGTGTCTATGTATAAGTAGATAACAACAGAACAGAGCAATTAATAGTCAAATGATTAATTACAAAAAGAAGAAATGTTTCATAAAATTGAGTGTTGCATGGAATTAGTATGAAACTGAATTATTCATTGGATGCAACTTTTCCGATATGCGTCGTCTTAAATTGGATGAGTGTGTACGCGAATCGGTTTCATATGCTGATTATGTATTAAAGTATACAAATAATTGCAAATTTAATTTTACAACGATAACACGGATCAGAGATGTTGCTATTACCAATTTTTTTTTAATTATTGTAGTTCTAATCTTTGTACTTAAGATGAAACATTAAAATTTGTAGAAGAAAGGACGAAAACTCGCCGGCGGAGAAAGAAGGTAAAGGATATAACAAAGGATTGAAAGCATTGCAATATTACTATAATTGAATATTTATTATTATATTGCTAATATTGAAATATAAAAAATCAATGTAGATAAAAGACATTAAGATTTTTCGCGGTGTGACATTTGTGGTCAGCGTATAAATTTGGAACGCAGGTTCGATTCTCACGATGTTGACAAACTTTTCATCCTTCTTTCTATAAATTTTAATGTCTCTTATTTATTGCAGAGATAAGACTATAAACATTTAAACTTAGGCGTTAAATTTAATTTATTGTATGCTCAAATCAACACTAACAGAGTTCTAAACTCATATATTCTATACTCATATATCACTATTATTTTCAGTATCTATGGTTGAATGGGAGGTTCTTGACAAGTTCCCTGCTAAGGCTTAAGTATAATTTTATGACAACCTCACCGCAGTACATCTGTTTTACTCGAAATTAATATGCGATTATAAACACATTCCACACTACCATATTTCAACCGTGAAAAAAAATGGATGGAGTTTATTGAAACTCGAACTTTGAAAAGTATGTACGTTTTTCATAAACAACTATTGAGGTGTTTATGAAAAACGTACATACTTCGAACCAAAATAACACTTGACAATTATTGGAAATTATATTTTTCACTAAGAATATTACACTGGCCATTCTGATGGTGAGAAAAAATACAAACATAAAACACGAATACAAAAACAACGAATATATCTTCAAACTATATTTAATAAAATAATGTTATCATTATTGAGATTATGTTGAAAAATGTAAATTTTGCAATTTCTTCAAAAATATGGTGAAAAAGTTCCAGTTCTCGAATTTTATAAATAATTTCATGCAAAAAATCGCTCGGCATTTTTTATCATGATCCTAGGCTATACATTTGGTTTCGAAGTACATTAATGAGAAACCATCTAAATAAATGTAATAAAATAAATTGTATAGAAACTAAGAACAGTTTTATAACAAATTAATTACAGTTAGCTGAGATATATTCTGCCCGACAACGGAGTTTGGCTCATTTAACTTCTGAAATTTAAATTTCCCAGGAGAGACACGTTGCACGGAAGTGGCAAAGCATCCGAGGAAATGACAATGCACTAGGAAGGTGATATTTTGAATTAAGTTCTAGTTATTAAAATGCTATTTGCACGTAACTTTGAACAAAATACTGAGTTGGATTAGATTGAACAATGTATTTCACGTATCAACATTAAAAAAAAAATATTATCAAGCATTGTAAACGAACGAACAAGTTGATCTTCGTTTCTAGTAAAACGTTAATAATTACGTCTATTTTAAATAACCCTTAAGATATACTAATACCCTCGTGATAGAAGTCGCACGTATAAAACATTTCATAATATGACATTTGTCCACTGTGTGTTTACGCTTTTTACTCACGTTTCTAATATAATTTTTTTCTTACGTCCATGGAAGGTGTTTGGTAAAATTTTTATGTTTCATGTCTGGCACACCTGCTTCCCATACATCTTACCTACCTGACATACAGCCTAGACGGCGCAATATTAGTTCCCAAAAACATGTCACCACCTAGTCGTAAATCTTTAATATTACTCTTTCGTGCAAGTTCTTAACGTCCTGTCAGTTTCACTGTTTGAATCCTAGAGCAATTTAGAACCTCTTCAACCAATGACAAATTGCTTCTTCAAAATTTAATTTCAAAATCTATTGCGAGGATTGGATGAGATTTATTCAATTTAACCTTACTTTAGAATAACTTGGGTCGAAAATAAACTTCTTAAATAAATTGTGTAATGGGCTTTACTATTAATAAGAGATCATCATCATGATCATTTTAGCCTGTTCGAGTCCACTGCTGAACGTAGGCCTACCCCACAGACGGCCACGAAGCGCGATCCTGAGCCATCTAGTGGGGGGTCGTCCCACACTGTGATGGCGTTTATTCCCCAGCGGTTATCAGTTCTCCGAGCTATATGGCTGGCCCATCGCCACTTCAGCTTACTAATCTTCTGAGCTATGTCGGTTACTTTTGTTCTACTGCGGATATTTTCTAATAAAGGATATAGAATTATGAGTCAATCCTATATGTATAACATAGGATTGACCTCATCACCAGTACTACGAAAGCCACCGCAATACAATGTGTTCGCGATGCTCTCGCTAACAGCCGCCTCAAAGAGGAACATCGCTAGACGCGCGGCTGCCTTGGAGGCGAGCGGCGATGACGTGCATCGACAGCCACTACTACCCACCACGCTGTCCCACTAAGAAGAAGAATGAAGTATATTATCTTACTATACAGCGTGTCGTTACCATCGCGACAATAAATGAACACACGTCTAACGCTACTTGCCAATAATCATAAAAAAATATTAACGTTAAACAAAATCCATAATTAAAAAAAAATATTTTTCGAACAAACTAATTAAGTAAAAAAGAAACAAAATTTGTAACATCCTATACAACTCGCGCCACAGCGTCGTATTACAAGCCTCTCCTTCTAATAGTATGTTTTGTCTCTTTTAAATTCATTCAACCCATTCATATGCTTTGTGACCTTTACAAATGAACTTTACGTTACGCTTTTATAGGTAAGGTGTTCTAAAATTCTTTGTTTTTGAAAATTTAATAACTCTGTAAATATTGATGTTTAAAGAATTTAAATGTTTAATACAACTTTAAAAAGTTATCCCCTATATATGGGTTAATTTATTGTCGCTATGGTAACGACACGCTGTAATATTAGCAGGTTATGTTACGTTATATTAATTCCGTAATTTATTTGTTTTGAGGTTTTGATTGAGTCTCCTCC